CGAACAATCTTAATACAATCCAACATTCTACTATCCAATGAAGATCAAATTCAACTCGAATTCAAAAACTTTGTATTACAAGTTTACAACTAATCTGATCATCCTGGAAAATGTAACAAAATTTTTATTTCACATATCAAGAAACCATTTCATATAAACTATTAACGCACTTAACCAAATGATTTGGCATTCCACATGATTGTTGATAGGATCATTTGCACATGATTGTTGATAGGATCATTCGATATCATAGGAATTATGCTCTGGACCAACCTTACTTTGTTGTATGGGATCATCAAGTATGAACATTTGTATGGACTAATTGATCACAACGTTACCAAATAAAATTTTAGATACCACCTCTTAAATAAAATATCACTACTTTCTGAAAATTTTAGCATATCCAAGGAATAAGTAAATAAATAGTTTCATTAAAAGCTAAAGACTTACCAATACTTAAATATCAAAACCCAGATTCACAATTTGGCAGTACAATTATCTTTTAACACGTACAGAAACTAGAATTGCAATGTTAATACCATGAATGAAATCTTGGTTAAGATGTAACTTTGCTTGATTTTGTATATACTTTCCATCCCAAACACAACGAGGTAGGAAAAAGCAATGATCTCTGTAATATAATTCTTCCTTTCTTTATTGGGAAAGTAAAGGTCTAAGAGCTATTCACAACCAAGACAGAAATGCTACCCATCACAAGCAATACAAGGTACAATCATACTTCTTCCATCTCCAAGATTAGACCTATAATCTCCAATCTCCCCTACATCCCAAGTGGCCAACAAACAAGAACCACATTACCACAATGCCCAACTACATCCTTACACTTTATTCCCCTCCTTCCATATTCTCCCCTTTTCAAATCACAAAGTGATTGGCCCCCCCTTTAGAGGGCCAACTCCCCCACTAATGAATTACCAATATACCCTGGATGCAAACTCTTGAATGGGCTCAGAAGGGATTCACAGGGCCAATATTCCTAAAAAACCGGGTGCCCAAAAGCTGTTCATACTGCCCACCACCACGGATACCTATAAGAGATGCCCTCGTGCATCCCTAAATACTGAACAGTGACATCATTTACAAGGTAATTAACTTCCCACTAGAAAACTAGACATTCTCTCTCTAGATTTCGCTAAATCCAATTCACTTTCTTGACCATCAAAGGGGTTTTCTCTAAGGCAGATGACCTTGTTCGTCATGTTGATAGACGAGGGGATCATCCCCTCCTACCATATTTCTGATGTAGAAACAGAAAGGATATTACATTGTTATTCTTTTGATGAATCATCATGGGGATTGATACTTATTTCAGTGCTTGTTTGGTTGAAAGTAGGAAGTGCAAATTCCTTGGAAATTTATATTCCCGTATAATTGTGTTTCTTAGAGAATGCTAAATATTGTCTGGTTAACATTGGAAGTGAGAATTTCCATGAGAAGTTCTACTTACCTAGTACCTCTAGGTAATTAAGTTCCTCCATTTTGTTGGAAGTGAAATTTCATAGGAATTTCTACTTCACCTTTCTACTTCACCAAACACCACCAAAAAAAATTCCAATTCCTAGGATTTTAACTTTCTATGTTTTTTTTTTATGTCAACCAAAATCTCTACTACTTCTGAAATTGACCATCCAAACAAAACATACACAAAGACAGACAAACAATGAAATCGAAAACAGCAAATTTAGACAAACCCTTGCAATAAAAATTTAACTTCCAAATTCAGAACATAAAACCTTCACATAAACCAACACAAACATACAGAATTGAAAAAAAATTGAACCAAAGTGAAACCTCAATCAAATTAAATTGAAAACAATGATAATAATTATTATAGCAATTATGAAGTAAAACTAATATCTTTCAAAGAAAAAAAAAAAAAAAAAAGTAAAAGTAATAGTATACCTCTCAAAATCGCGGTAAACTTGGATAGAAGTAGAATCAGAGGTTCCACTAAGATTGGTAGGAGTTTCAGGATTGCAGCGAGCACGAAGGTCACGGCTATGGCGGCGAAATTGTTGCTTACAACAAACATGATTGCTACGATGAAATGATTCAGCGACGAAACTGATAGAATTGATACGACTATGATGATGAGTTTGAAGAGATGGAGTTTGAGTTTGGAATGAAGATGAAAATGGCGGAAATTTTTGGAGAGGTGATGACGTGAACCAGTAGGATACCGCCATTTTTGTACTATTGAAGTTGTTCAGTTAAATTTTGGGAAACGGAAAGTTTTTTTTTTTTTTTTTTTTTTTTTTTGGTATGGTTGGAATTGTTTAATACACTACGACTTTCTCTCCACTTTCTAGACTTCCTTGCTTATTCGGTTGGCACTTGGCAGCCGGAAGAAGTTTTGCTTAGTGATGTTAGTGGGGCGGTCAAGACTCGAACTTTTAGGAATGGAGGGACTCTCAATCTTTTTGTTCAAAACCCTTAGTTTGAGAGTTTAGAGAGGTGGCTAAAAGTTTAGTTTTATATATTAGTTATATGATAGGATTGTTGTTGTATTTAGGAGGCGTGGATTAGGTGGGTCATGGATGAGGAATTGTTGATTAAGTAGGTGTGGATATCCAAATGGGGGGTGGACGTGATGGTTTTGGAATTGTTCCTATCAGGGTGGGGATGGGGATGAATTTTGTACCCGTTGCGGAGATGGGAATGAGAATGTTACGCGGGGATGGGGATGGGAATGCCAACATCTGCCCCGCCTCGCCCTATGACATCTCTAGTTTTACTGGTATACTCGGGCATAGAAAATCCCCATTTATTGAATGATAAATAAGTCAACAAAAGTTACCTAGATCCCTACAGTTCAATCCCCATTTTTTCCAAAGGGCTCATTCATATCACAAAAATCTTTCAAAAAAAAAATCAATAAAAAAAATCAATTTTTTTTTAACGTAAACTACGGGGAGGGCCCCCCACCCTATCACAAGAATGGTGGGATATGAGGAATCAAACCCCAATCACATGCAGTGGGGGAGGATGGAGGGACTAAACAGTCCATCCATCTCCTCATTCCTCAAAAAAATTTAACGTAAACTACGGGGAGGGCCCCCCCACCCTATCACAAGAATGGTGGGACATGAAGAATCAAACCCCAATCACATGCGGTGAGGGAGGATGGAGGGACTAAACAGTCCATCCATCTCCTCATTCCTCAAAAAAAAAAAAAAAGTATGGTCTTTTGTAATTATAGAAACAAAATAACAATTATAGGACCTATTTTAATAACATATTGATTAATTATTTACACTTTTGCCACTAGATAAAAACGTTTTATTTATCACAAGGTGATAAACTTGTATTTTCTCCTTTGGACATCAGGCATTCTCTTAAAAATTTGTCTCACTTTCTTTTAGACAGTCTCATCAATTTTTCATGTCATAATTTTTTTTTTGTCCTATTTGATTATTTGGGTCTTCAAAAATACGTTTTAAACACACTATATCTTCTAATAACGTACTTTGTACTCTTATTTTGTTTTTGAGTAAACTTCGTACTAGATAATATAACAAAATAACAAGATTTTCACATGATTATATTATTTACGTACTGTTAAAATTATACAATAGTACGAATATGTGTTTAATGTTTTTAAAGTTTAACCCCAAAAAATATTACGGGAGAAACAAATAGAAATAAAAGAAGTATCTTATTATTTTCCTCCATCCAATCCAAAATGTAAAAACAATACACTAAGTGGCAAACAAAAGGGATTCAAAAGAGTATTACTGAAGTATACTAACACCCTCTAGTTTAAAATCTCTTAGTTGACACTAACATTTGTAAGTAGTTTTTTTTTTTTTTTTTTTTTTTTTTTTGGGATGAATAGAAATACCCTATTGAATCACAGCTCTACCAAACTTGTAGATTGTAGAATACATTTTTCTATTATTCTAATAAGACTCATAAAAGCATAATTATTAAAGAGAATGATTGAATCCTCTAATGTATTCCTTCTTTTCTCAGCCTCCGTCACCCTTTTCCTTTAATTTTTTAAACGTCTAAGACCCTATTCAATTCACCTTAAAAAAAAATATTCAATAAAATTAATTTTATTTTAGTAAAATTAATTGATAATAATAAATCAGTAAAAATAATTTCAATTCAGTAAAATTAATTTATAATAGAGAATTAGTAAAAATAATTTTAGTTCAGCAAAATTAAATTCAGTTTAGTAAAATTACTTTCACTTAAGTGAAAATAGCATAAGTTTAGCAATAATAATTTCAGTTTAGTAAAAATAAGATGAAGTGAATAGGGCCAAAGCCTCTAAATCTTCTCACTACTCTTTTAGCAATATATACCCCCACCTACATTAATTTCAAATAGCAACAACCGATTAAATTCATAATAATGATATATTTATGGACCTCAGCCACAAGTTCTGACTTCAGAAACAATTTCTGGACCTCAGATCAACAATGTCAGTGTATGTGTGCATGTTACATTGTTACCTACGATGCTAAACATAATTGATTAGACAATTGTTATTAAAGAGGTGCTGAAGCTGGCGATGCAGGTTCTGGTTGACTGGTTTACAGCTTTCACCTTAAACCATGCACAAAGGCATTAGCTCCGACAGGTTCCATTACTGAAAACTGAAGTTAAGCTATCTCACTATATCAAATAAATTTTCACCTGAACTAGTCACGCACCCAAAAAAAAAAAAAAAACTGATTCAGAAGCTTTGTAAACAAATGGAAGACGTTAACAATTGGTTTATGCAGCTCGTTTTCATGATTCTCTCTTCTCCACAGAAAAAGAAACTGAATGCATACACAGTCAATACAGAACATCAGAAGCAGGATCCTGAAACTCACCAATATTATGATCCATCACAGAACTTCACCACTGGTTAAACAGAAATGTTACGGGTTAAAAAACTTGGATTGAGAAAACTACAGAAGTATATATAAGAAATTCTACATTGCTGTATTGGTTCGACAAGTTACCATTAAGCTGGAAAGATGATGTACTCAGATTGACGACTTTTGATTGCATTGCTAGCAGATAGCTTAATAAGCCAGTGGCTGTAGTCACAATGTAATATGCAAGCATAGCTGAGGCTATTAGCATACAAGAGAAAAGCTGATTTTCCCCCAACGATCAGACTGCTTGGACTCCGTTTCAATAGTACACCCACAAATCACATACAATGAATTTGTGATAATGTACAAGATAATAACTAACTAGTGTCTATAAGCATATTACAGTAGGAATAACCTACATCAAACACAAACTCTTCAGTTTTCCTATGTCTTTCTTTTATAACAACTCAATTAGAAAGGAGCATCTAAACATAGTTCTTTTCTTCTGTTCAGAGGCTTGCTCAAACACAAGGCAACCTTCATCCAATATTTACAAGTCCCCCAGGCCTACAAACATACAGAAATGTGACAGTGGTCACCGCATTAGATATGAGAGTGAAAATTATAGGTATGCAGGCAGACATACAGACAATCAAAACAAGGTCCAATGCCAACTACCGCTCAAATGCACTATAATCTATCGCCCCGTAGTGTCTCACAAGGACCATGACGATGTGCAGCCATATAATGTGAGAATAAATAATGACATTTGCCAAAGTTTTAACAGCAGAGTCCCTATCTAGACTTCTAAGTAACTTCACAATATGCTGAAGAAGCACTACAAAGATTTTTGGAGTTGGGAAGGAGTGCCATAGGTAATATGCATTTGCAGGGTACATAAAACTCTGTTGTTACCACAATCTAAGGTAAACGAAGAAGAGGCTAGGCACACAAACAAAGATGCAATTACATGTAACTGACATAATCCTATCAAGTTTGAAGGCCAGAGTGCCAGATGATTCACACTTAAACATAGCCCACCCAATGTAAACTATTTCAAGAGATCCAGAACAAAAGTCTGTTCTACGAATTTAAAAAATTCCAATCTACTTAAAGGCTAAGCCGATGCCAATTTTGCTAATAGTTACACAGCAGTATGCAAAAGAGAAATTAATCAAACAGCAGTTGACATTTCCTCATCCTAGAGAGGAATCAGAGGATACCGAATACTAAAAACATCTTCATTTAAGAATGAACTCCAAGAACAAATATACGTAGTAGTACTAGTAGAATGACAAGATAAGATGTTATGAGTATTGAGCAAGTGAGAAGCTTACGTTACGATTGGCTACACAGATGATCCTGAATCAGAAACCCTCTAGGCAAACCATCCAATCACTACTTCACAGCATCTCCCGTTAATGATAACTTCAATTTACAAGAGTAGAAAGGAAATGAACAGTCAGTTTCTATTTGCAACTCATACAGTCATACGACGTAAAAGCCAAGTATTCAACTCACCTCACAATTAACTGATTCCCCGCCAAAAGCAGAGCCTTCTTCTCTCATTATATTTCCAACCTTCTGAGCTGAATCAGGAGTATTAGTTTGCTCCAATTGAACATTATCAGAATTACAATCTTCCTTTTTCAAACTTCCATGCACATCTGCCTCGCATCCATCAGCATTGACCCTACTCTCACTCTGTTATATGCATAAAAACAAGTCAATTTAATTGCAATAGAAAAAAAGTACATGATGCGAAATTAATAGCCCCCTCCAGGCAGCCACGGATAAGGAAAACAAGAGAAAAATGATCAACAACATTAATTCAAATGTGAAAGGTCAATTAATCGGTCAACTCAAGCATATATAATTTGCAAAACTCTTAAGAAATTTGTAAAGCACAACAATGTTGATGATTAAAGATATTAATGATTGAAATTATGCACTGGCAAGTGTAAAAAATTGACATGTTGCAAGTCTTGCAAGTTGCAACTAATAAAACAAAGAAAGGCCAAAAAATTATGCTTATAATTTATACTGTTTTAAGATATGCTTTAGGATACATGCTACAAGCCTATATATTGACTGCAAGACTGTAACTTACCACACTTTGAACCGATTCACTAGCTACACATCCTGCATCTGTAATGCTATCATTTTCCATCTCAACAGCATCAGGTTTATCTCCTGGGCCTGCATCACTATTACTGACATATCCAAAGTCTCCTTCCCTTTCAACAACAGCAGGACTTTCCTTCGAACCATCAGCATGGTTGTCGACCACACCCTACAATATACATTCAACCAAATTTATCATACTGCAAATACTTTTTTATAACATCTCACATCATCTCACATTAATTAATCAACCTTCACAGGCTGGTTGCAACCTGTATAAAATATCGAGTAGTGAAAGAGCTTCAACCCAGATTAGTCTGTCTATACAGATTCCAATGCCCTATCTCATGATGTACGCGATGTTGTAGAAGACTTGAGCAGTAAACAGGTAGCTAGATATGAGGCCTAGAGTTCTATTGGAAAAATATATTGCATTGATAACACTGAATAAATAGTATTGCATTCAAGGTATAAAACACTAACAAGGAGTGATCACAAATCACAATGCTGTTATTAGCCTCATAAAAACATCTTGATCCAGGAATAAGACAGCTCTAGGTTTCTGACTTTCTGTAGAATCTTTCCAGCTTTTTAGTTTTTGCATATTAGTCTCTCTCCCCCACCCAAGATAAAATTCTTGTTCGAGCAACTTAAATTATTTCTAGGGTTGATATGAAACTACAAGATACCCAGCCCGGGTTAGAATTGATCTCACAATCTCTTGGTTGTGAGATGACAATCCTTACCTCTGTACTACTTGATAGGGTATATATGATCAGAGCCCGGCCCAGCCCAAAGCCTTGGTCCCAGAATGGGCCACTTTTTTGAACCAAAGCCCGGCCCAGTCCGTGATCACCTTTAGTTCATATGGAATTACAAGATGCTAGTCATACAAATTTCTGATTGCACATGGTGATTTGAAATCTTTAACTTATATTTTTACATCCCTTCTTGCTACTTTTGACTCAATATCTCAATACACTAAGTTCGAAGAGCTTCTCCCAAATTTTTGGATTGTTCAATGATAAATAAGGCTATTTTTCAAATTACTTTTTTGCTAAAGTGGTAATTATTACTACCGCCATTTCAAAATACTAAGATCCAATGCACATGCTGAATAAAGGGAACAAAATGGGTAAATAGATAAATTAATCAGGGTAACTTTCACACTAGTAAGAGAAATGGGTTGTGTTATTAGGGTAATAAATTGTTTTGATTACTTTACCCATTTACCCTCTCTGCTCTCTTTCTTAAATTATATTCCAATTTCCAATTGCAAGAAGCTTGGTTGCAAATATTTTTAGAGGATAAATTATTTACGTAAGTGAAGCTATTTATTCGGAACAAAACTAAACTAAATTTAAAAGATAATTTATTCCAGTAGTAAATGACACACTTGGTAATACCCTTTAGGAAATAGCCAATTCAGCTCATACACCCACGGTTGAATACATCGAAGGATACCGGTAATTCACACACTATTTTTTAAGCTTGATGATATTAGACCAGATTTTGGAGCAAGAAGTCACACTTAAATTTCTTAAAGTCATTGTAGCCTCTTTGTAATGCAAAGAGGTCACTGTTTGATATTTAGGTAAAGTGAAAAGAAAAGAAAGAAGGAATCAATTGAAAATTACAGAGTCTGGAATCAAGTTGTATATTCCTTTTTTTCTGGGCATAGATAATAACTCAAAATTAAATTCTTCCTTTCACAGCTATTATGCCTGCTACTACTAATGACTAGAAGATAACTTTTGTAGCTTCTAGTTTATCAATAAATATACCTCAGTTGTACTTCTCAGTTACACTTGTCACCAGTCACCAGTCACCATAGACAGTTATATACGACGTAGCACTAGCAGCCAAGCACTGGATCATTGATACAGTGTCTCATGAATTCCCTCTTATATGTTCATCAGTTAGAAAGGTATCTGTCCAGTATTTAGATGTAATCACAAATTCTCAGTGAATATGTGTGGCTTAGCTATGACAGAAATATATAGGCCAATAATTCCATTTCTCATAGTCATGAATTCCTGAAAGTTTACAGCATATGAACCTAGGATGTTATATAGCTACCAAACTTATCTATGGATATTATGGTAACTGACAATAAGATATCGTCATGGATAGGATCAAGTCAGTACATATTAGCCAAATTCTTATAAGATCATTAATCACCCGCAACAACAACCTAACAAACTAATCAATAATTAAAACACTAAACAAAGGCTAAGTACTGTGACTGTTGAACTTCAATAAAGCACCAAACACCCATGACTAAGGGAATAGAAGCACGGAAAACACACACACACAAAATCTCTTTGCAGAACTCACAACACACTTAAGTACTTCCTTTCTACAATGTGTAACTGTAGACGCATCACTCAGAATGTTTTCAAAAAAATAAAAAAAATACTCTACTAGATGATCATAGAGGTTTGAGTTTACTAATAAATCATTTATGCTACACTAAACTTCTTTTTTTTTTTTACGAAATGCTACACTAACCTATGTCTATCAAATTCAGTTCCTTCCCACATCCTTCAACACTCGAAGGACAGCAACATATGTTAAAGCAGAAGAATATAATTTTCCATCATACAATAATCCTACATTTTAATTATGCTCTAAACAAAGTACCATACTTATTTCAATATATACAAATAACCAAAACTTAAAAAAAAATAATAAAAAAAAAAAAAAAAAAAGCTCACCGGAAATACACAGGATTTCTCCAAGGACTGACTACTAGCATCCCCATCCTTAGACGGTAACGACGGAAGCCGATGAACATCCCATCCAAGAATCTTACAAATGACATGCCCATAAGCTCTATGAGCTTTCCTCTTCTTGGTATTAGAAATAGTTACAGAATGCTGAACAACAGCAACACAATTCTTATACTTCCTCAAAAGTTTACCAGCTAAAGCCCCACAAACCAAACAATAAAACACCCCATTCTCACAATTCTTCTTGTAATAACCCCTCAATTCCTCTTGTTCTTCAAAAACTTTCATAAAAAACTCGAATTCCTCAACATCATCACCATCATCTTCCTCATCATCATCACTATCACTACCTACTTCTTTATGAAACAACCCAGAACAACAATCCAAACCCTTAAGATGAATCTTCACACCTAACACCCTCTCCTTCTCCTCGGCCGTCACGGGCCGAGAAGCCGGAGCCGAATGGGGCTTAAACTCAGGCCAAATCGACCCAGAAGAAGATGGGCATTTGGGTATTGATTCAACAGGCCACTCCTTATCAGAAATGAGATGGGGTTCGAGGGATTTTGAAATTTTCTGGGTTTTCTTGAAAATTGATGGGATTGAGGGTTTAAGATAATGGGGTGTTTGAGAATTAGGGTTTAAGGTTGAAGAAGGTGGACCTCTATGCCATAAAGAATGAAGGTAAATAACTTCATCCCTTAAAATTCTTTCATATTCTGGTGAAAAGGGGTATTGAGGAGGAGGAAGATGGTGAATTGGGTGGTTTAATGGGGGATTATAGGGGTTGTTAATTGGTGGATTGCGAGGAATTTGAGGGGGAATTTGATGAATTTGGTGGGTTTGGAAGGGATTTATGTGAGGATTATAGTTTCCCCTTTGCATTTTTCAGTGAGAAATTTTGAAGTTATTCTTTGATGGTGTTGAGCAAATGAATTGTTTTTGCTACAAGAAATTCAAAAAGTGTATCACTGTATCAAGCAGTTAGGCCACACGGCGTGTGATCAGCTGAGATGTGTTCATGTTTGCTTTCAATAATTAACCCAAAGTACTGTAATAAGGGCACGAGAAAAACTATGTTTATCACCGTGATAAATGAAACTTATTTCATCACGAAAATTGACTAGGGCATACGTATTATATGCGTAATATAAAAGGATTAGAAAGACAATCAAACCTTATCGCCAAACTTTAGGTGCATGATTAATTTTTGGTATTGATAATTTGCATGGTGATGATAATGTGCATGGAATTACAAGTGTCAAATGATGGAACTACTCATTCTTATAGTTCTTGCACACATCTTTTCTTTTTGAGTAGTTCTTGGTATTGATAATATGCATGAAATTACAAGTGTCAAAAGAAAACACAAAAGATGTGAGTAGCGATCTACCGATATAACAAAGTCTGAAAAGAAAACTTTTCAAACATATCAAGCATTTCAAGTCATTTCCTCTCTCTACCTCCTTGTTTAAAAGAACCCAAAAATGGAGTTCAAGAAACAAAAATGAGTATTACAAGATTATTTATTTCAACAATAAATTGTACCCAAAGACTAAAAAACTCAAAAATTAAAAAGCTAAGGCCACCCACCACCACAACCACAAGCAGGCCGTTGACAGCAAGCAACCGGCCAGCAACCGCCGGCAGCAAAGGGGTTGGTGCGTGTAGTGAAGGGAAGCACACCCCTTTTTCCCTTTTCATGTTATTTCGAAATCAATATCAATCAATCAATATGTATTATTAAACTCAATGGCAAGACATGTAATTCTGCCATGTGTCGCCATTAGTTGGCATATGATATGGTGCCATTAAATAAGATTAATGGTCAGTATTATTTCCTTAAATAAAAAATTTTGCTAGCAGCAGAGGAGGGACTTCGTTTTTGTTGGTGGTATCGAGGGATTGTCATTGAGATTGGGGACAACTTGTGGAATATTGCCGGCTTCGGTGGAGTTAGTGTTTCGGCCTTGATTTACGCTCTATTATGTAATATATATTTCAAAAGGATACATTATGTAAAAATGTATTGATACCATTAGATAGGAGTTCCATATTTTAGTAAAGAATAATTTAAGAGTTGAAGCTAAGAGCGTATAAAATTGAAATCTGAAAAAGCAAACTACCTTTTGAGTAATTTGAGCAAAGTGGTGCAAATAATGTGTTTTAGAACAAAGGATTTCAAAGAGATCAAAACAAAGCTTTAGATTTATTGTTGTGTATATTTTTCTCAAATTATGCCAGGATTTATATTACCCCTGCATGAACAATGTTTGCTCAATATGTTAAATCATGCAGTGTAACATCTAATCAAGCATGAGGTTTTGAGCGACAATGTTTTCTCTTACATGGAAAAGTTTGACAGCAAGATTTGGTAGTATTTCTAATCCGTTTATATTACGCTTATATGATGCGTAAACATTCACAAAGATAAATTCCCTCCATTTTGTACTAATCGCAACACCAACTATTGCAAATAGTTTTAGGAAAATTATAGGGTGGAGACCAAAAAGAGAATTTGAAAGTATAGTTGCTAAGAGTATATTGTTAGTAGGAGAGATAAATGATAAAAAAGAAAGGACAGTGTAAGTGAGGTTGGTAGGAGAAAGAAATATTGTACTCCACATTAAAATAAAAGTAAGTCGTTATCAAATAAGGAAGTGTTATAAATATTATAAAACTAGGAAGGCTAACGCGCGCGTTATAGTTAGCCATGTTCAGAAAGTTCTTTCGAGTTAGCGTAGTGTTATAACTGTAATTGTTAGTAGCCTTAATTATAGAAAATATGTAAAGAAATATCTTTAGGGTATAAATATCCACACACTTTTCTTAAAAGTTAAAAAAAATACGAAGTAATTAACATTAATGGGGGCAAATATGTAATTAAATATTTTAGGGACATAGTCGTCTTAACACTATTCATAAAATGTGGACATGTGGTCATACTTTTAAAAAAGGTAAATACGTAAATAAACATTTTTAGGGACATAATCGTCACAATACTATTTAAAGCATTAACACTAGTGGACGATTTTTTAGTTGCCCAATCTCTCTCTAACCACTTTCTCACTTCTTCTCCCCATGGGCATTTTGTTGGGCATAATTTTTTCCCACCAATGGTAAAAAAATAAAATCCCCACCATCCTTACTCCTACTTTTTACCCCTATACCCCACTAACATTTCTCTTTCGTAAACATCACTATATTTATGTTTTTATAATGTTTAATTGTGTTATACAATTGTTTAATTTTTATAGTTAATTAAATTTTGTAATGATAAAATATTTACGAGTAAAATATTAATTCGTAATTTAATTATATAACGAGAAAGTAATTATTTTTTACTTTTGATTATAATAATAGGATGACAATAACAATAACAACAATGACAATAATACCAACTTGCACGAAAAAAACAATAATAACAACAACAATGATAATAACAACAATGACAATAATAAAGTAAGAAATTGAGAGAAGAGCTGCAATTACAAGTAATTTTTTTTTTGTTTTGAGCGTCAATTCACAACGCTACATTTTTAGGATTGGCTTAGCTTTAGCTTCCTCAAAACGCATCATTTTGAGTGATGCTCAACAAAAAAAAAATTAAAAGCAGATGGTTTTAGTGGGACCCAAGTTTTCATTTGTCAGAACTTTATTTTCCTCAAAGTTTGAGGAGAAAAATAATATCCAAGGGCAGGAAAAGGCTACACATACAACTATTGTATGTGTATGTGGTCTCCACATACAATGTGACATGACAACCTTTAATTGGTTGGTGAAATGGGCCCCAAAATCCGCTAAATTTGAATTTCCATTTGAATTTCAAATACATTTCAGATTTAACCTAATGCTACTTTTATTTAAAAAAAAAAAAGAAAAAAAAACCTATTCATTTCTTCTACCATGGACGACAGCCATGGAAGATTGAAAAAAAAAAACCTGAATTTTTTTGCTAAATTATATTTGTCATCCTCTTCCCGGTTGTTTTTTTGGCCATTTCGCCATGAAATTACTTTACGTGGTTTACGTCTTTAAAACTTGAATTTACGTCGTATATAGAGCTTTGATTTTTCGATTTTTTTTCCTGTTCAAATAGAGTATATTCCAATTAAATACATAATCGTTGTGTAATTATTTGCAGAAGATAATGTGTAATATAGTTTGTGGTTTAATTGAGTTAATCTTCGTCATTTAGTCGTCTACAACAATTGAAATTGGCGTTCTTCCCCTTTTCTATTGAACTATTAAAATTGGTCATCTTCTTCTTCATCTTCCCATTTTTCTATTGAATTTGGAATTTTTGTAGAAATACAATAATTATTTAAGTCACAAAAGTAGTGATAGTCGTATTCGTTAGTAAAAAAAAAAATGGAGAGTCGAAGGACCTTACTAATTTATTTAGTAACACAGACATATTATTTAGTAACACAAACAAATTATTTATTAACACAATTAGTTATCTTTAGTAACCAAATATCTTAAACCGACATAGAAGTACTAATAATAAAAAGAATTTTCTGCAAATGTTGACATGGTGTTTAATCTTGGTTACTAATGCTGAATTTGCAATGATGAAACATTGTCTCCGAGTTGAATCCCTTGCAAGAACATATAAGTTGCTTTTTTTAAAAAAAATAAAATAAAAAAAATAAAATGAAATAAAAAAATAAAAAATTCCTTACCCTCAAATTGATATTTGCAATAACAAATATATTATCCTAAAACTTGTGATGAGTAAGTTATAAATTTTAAATACACTTTTGTAGTAACAAGAAAACCCAAAAAATAAAAAAAATAATAAAAAAAAATAAAAAAGAAATTGTAAACATGTAATTATTACTTTAAAACACATTGATTGGTAGGAAATAAAGCAATATTGATCATTTGTAATAATTTTTGTTTGAATTTGTTTCATATACGAGAAAAAGAGACGGGAAGTACAATGATTAGAGTTGTTATAGATGATGTGAAATAGACACAATCATTGGATAGTCATAAGAAATAAAGTTAAATAAGTAAATAGTAAATAGTAATCAAGTTTCACATCAATAATAACCATTGAATAAGACCATATATTTCATTTAAATTTCGATTTTTTTTTATTTTGCACAATAATAGCTTGACAAAACAATTTTGCTTATTGCAAAATGAAATATCATGATTTAAGTTAATAAACTAAGGTTATATTTCACTTATGAATAATGGAACGATGTTTATAATTTGAACAAATCGTGTAATTGAATTAGGTAAACTATTTCATCTTGAAAATAATTGGATGGATATAGGCGCAATTCCTCAAAACGATTGGATGGATATAGGCGCAATTCCTCAAAACAATATCAAAGGTATTACGAAATTATTATTATTATTATTATTATTATTATTATTATTATTATTATTATTATTATTATTATTATTATTATTATTACTACTACTACTACTGTTTCGGGGTTTTCTGATGTCCTGCGGGAGAGTTACAATTCCGAGACTGGAACCGGACGCCTGTACCTGCAAAACAAACGGATGCTCCGGATGATTGGAGATCCGCCTCCGACGGTCAAGTTAGTACTTGATTAAGGAGTAATTAATGCGGAAATTAAAGTGATTGGGTCTCTCTAGGTGAGAGAGTTTAATGTGTGTAATCTGCATAATCTCCCTTAATGAGGATTAAGGGAGGTATTTATAACCTCGGGAAACGTGCCAATCTAGGTTTAGGTTAACCTTGGGCTGATTGGGCTTCCCACGGAAGTTGGGCCTAGGTGACCGGTTATCCCAGGTGTCATGGGAAGGACACGTGTCGTGTCATAATTGGTCCATAGTGGACGGATCATTACTTGACACGTGGCAGGCTCCTATTGGCCCATGTGACGGACACATGGCGGAACCTGATTGGTCCACTTGTCAGATGGTGATTGGTGGGGAAAAATCCCCTAATCATTTGCCCCTCACAGGTGGCACGTGACTGGTCACGTGTTACCTGTGACAGGTATCGCCCTGTAACAGGCGACGGCCTGCTACAGGTGTCACTCGGCGAGAGGCCGAGAG